CTGCTTGATATTTGAAACACTTTTTGGGTGTTTTCGTTTCAAATCTGCAAGTATATTTTTCGGAGACACCCTGATTAAAGACATTGTTTGAAACAATTTCCTTCTCCTCCGGTTTAAGACGACGTACGATGGGATGGTAGGCTAGCTTTGTTTGAAACTCATGGTTATGTATTTCATAAAGTACATTAAATTTCCACATCTCATCCACGCTACAATATCCGCGCAATTTAAACGAATAACTACACTTTCTTGTTCCGGTGTCACCATGTTTTAACTTCTGAATCAGGGGAACAGATGTGTCACTTCTCTCGCATCTCATGGTTACAAATGCTTGTCTTCTATTTGAAGCAATGTCGTACCTTCCAATTACAATGTCAAACCCCAAATTTCTGGCTACCATGCAGACCCATTGAAGCATATGATCGCGAGCAGTATATAATTGTTCATTTATGAAATATTGACCAACGTCTATCTCTATCATTTTAACATCATCCTTCACTTTTTCCGATTTAATATCTTGCTTAACTTCAACTGGTTTAACATTATCCTTCGCTGCATCTTACATACAACAATTTTGAGAAACATATTCGGGTGAACCATATCTAAAAAGAAGTCAAACCGAAAAAAATTTAAAAACCAGTAACAGATGAGCTCGGACATACATATCCGAAAAAATGTAGGTGAGTTCGGATATGTATTTCCGGACAAAGCAAACTTTTTTTCACCCCAGACCAAAGATCAATGTAAGCAGCGAGGGATAAAATGAGGGAACTTTATCTTAAATTGTAGCTTATGATGTTCCCTTTGATGTGTTAAAATAGACAAAATCTGATTTTGAATCGAAAAGTTGATTGATAATGAGATTTTTTTCCAACGATTTTTTTGGTTATTGAGGAGTTGGAAGTGTTTGAAAAGTGAGGAAAATGATCATGCAAGGTGGTATATACTCAAATTTCCGCTTGACATATTCAAAAACACATAATATCATCGAGTGGTAAAAAAATTCTCATATAATAAAGATGACTTTGGACTTGTATCTCCGAATTTATCTTAGAGGTATATTCGAAGATGCATATCTGAACTAAATTTTACTATAAATTAATATTTAGTGCGATTAGAAATGTATCTCCGAATGTACTCATAAGTCTTTTTGGATTTTCAAAAATATACCCTCATATAATAACGACGGGATGAGAAATTGTCAAAATCTATAGATAAAATAGAATGAGTTTAACTTTGATAAGAATGGCCTAAATTCTTTCATGCTTCTAAAGAATACATTAGTGACAACTACCATAATTATAACTTTTGATTGGATAGGAGATTACCTTTTAAAATGATGTGGGACGCTAATAATTATGTCATAGGAGCAGTGTTTAGTCAGAGGCATTCTAAACTTTTTCATATTTATATATTATGCTAACAAAGTTATTAATGAGAATCAAATTAATTATACAACAACGGAAAAATAATTATACAATAATGGAAAAAGAGTTTCTCCAAATAACATTTGATCTAAAATAAATTCACTCATATTTGATCAACTAGTAATAAACTCGTGCGTGTATGCACGAGTTCTGGTTTGGTAGGTATATTATTTACATAATGTATTTATTTTAAATAGAAAATTAAAAAAATATATATTTAAATTAATAATAAATTTTTTTATATATACAAATATTTAGATTAATAATAAAAAAAAATTATATATTATTTTTGGATCATAAATATTATTTTTTGTATATATAAATATTTAAATTAATAATAAATTTTTTTCTGTATACAAATATTATTTTTATTTAAGTATCATTTATAAAAATATTTAAATTAATAATAAATTTTCGTATGTAAAAATATTTAGATCAATAATAAATTTTTTTTCTGTATACTATTTTTAAATCAAAAATATTTAAATCATAAATATTATTTTTTATATATAAAAATATTTAGAATAATAATAAATTTTTTCTCATATATAAATATTATTTTTGTTTAGATATCGTTTATAAAAATATCTGGATCAATAGTAAAATTTTGTATATAAAAATATTTAGATCAAATTTTTCGATATATCATTTTTAAATGTTGTGAAAATAATAAGTGACATAGTTTGTTGAATGATTTAGTATGGATATGAATGCCTTATGTTTAAATACATATTGAGATAAAATGAGTATGACTATGTCAAATCCGAACATGAAATTATTAGCGATGTTTACTTTTTTCTTAATATTTTACTTCTATTCATATTCTACTTGATTGGTTTATTTGGTCTCAAACAAATTAAGAAAAATTACTTTTATATTAAAAGAATAAGGTATTTTTTATAGAAGTAATAATATAAGATATTTTTTATAATATTAATAATTCATCTGGCAAATTAAGGTGAATATAATTTTCTAGTAAATAAAAGATTAAAAAATAATTCAACGTAAATGAATTTTCGTTTCATTATATTTTTTCTCTTTTTTTTTATAATTAAAAAAATCAGTATTTTTTTAAATATATTTGGTGATGATTAGTAAAAATATATATTTAAGATTTAACCAGAAAATGGAGTTGTAAAAGAATAACATATTAATATTTGACATAAATAAAAATAAATCTAGTTATTCTTATTTTGCTATAACAAATCAGTAATGAAAGTAGTAGATTATACTCTTTGAAATAGAAATAAAATAAAAGTTACTTAACTTGTGTTTTTATTGGATTTAAAAGAACAATGTCTAAAGTGATTTAATAAAATTTTATAAGAAAAAGATCTAGGTAAGAAAATATTAAAAAATATTCCCATCATAGTATAATTGATGTAGTCATCTTAGCTGAATGAGATGAAATTTATTAGTATATTATTAGGTGAATGTTTACTGTATATAATTATTGTTGTTATAAGCAACAATAATGGGTGTATTATTAAACAGTTTGGTAGTTTGGGAATATTAATTGAGTGGAGGGACAATATTGTTAGTGGTAACCGCCCTAGTGTTTATAATAAAAATACTAGTATTGTGTTTGAGTTGAAAATTGGAATGAATAAGATGAATGAGGCGTCCACGTTAGTCAAATAAACACACAAGCAGCCCTATAGTGATCAGAGAGTCACATCACACAACATTTATGTGCCTCGAGATCACTTTTTTGAATCAGATTTTTTAGCATTACTTTGAGAGAATATTGAGCGCTGCTTTTATTATTTTCCTCAATGAAATTTTATTCAAATCAGATATCTTATCTCAATAATTACATTATACTACTAATCTTGTCTACAATTTGATACAACTTAGTATTCTCTTTGGAATGCTTAGTATGCTCCGCCCCTACCAGTATTGCCTCCATCACTCTTTTCAACTATAGTATATATCATTCCTTTTGCCTCTCCCTATTCAATTCCCATGGCTTCTCCACCTCATCACTGATATTGGGATATATATCCGAAATATTTTAATGATTCAATAATTAGAATCCTTTTGCCTCTCCCTATTCTATTCCCATGGTTTCTCCACCTCATCACTGATATTTGGATATATATCTGAAGTATTTTAATGATTTAATAATTAGAAATAAAGTGTATCAATTATATTAATTATATTATTTTATTAATTATTTATATAAATTTTATATATTTTTAATAGGTTAAAAAATATATATTATTTATTTATATAAAAATATTAATTCAATATAATAAATTTTTTAATTAAATATAATAATTAATTATTATTTTTAAAATAATAATTAAAAAATTTCATCTAAATTAAATTTAACTTGTAAAATTACAATAAAAAAACATTTTTTATATTTTTATCAAAAATTATTCATAATTTTAAATAAATAATTAAAAGACAACTATATTTCAACATTATAATTAAAAATTTAATTATTACATTCATTATTTAATTTTATATCATAAATTTATTTTAATATTTAGTTTTTAATTATAAATTTTAAGTTATTTTTTTATTAATAATAATTCAATTTAATTATATCATAATTATATTATAAATAAATATTTTTTCAAAATAAAATCAAAATAAATTTAGAATATTGAGTGATTTTGGATATGCATATCCGAAATCGCCCAATTTAAACTTTTTAAGAATTATTTCAGATATGAATATCCGAAGTCATTCAATATCTCAAATTTATAAAAAAAAAGTATTTGAAAGGACATATTCGAAGGATATTTTTAGATTTTCAGAGATAAAAATCACCATTACCCTTATTAATGAGAAATTCTCATAATTAAACAAAAGTAATGGTAGCCATGTACTTCCATTTGCAGGAAAGTTACATTAGATTGGTTTGTGAACATAGATTTAGTTAAAAAGAAAGACTTTATTGTTGTTTAAAATGCAACTATGTAGTTGGAGCAAATTAACATTGTAAACTTGGTTGGAAAAAGTATAATTTAGACACCAAATATCCTCAAAATGTACAAATGACAAAAAATCAACAAAGGGTAAATTGGGTCTTTCTAGATATCTATCTTTCTTATATTATTATAGATTCAAAAATTGTTGTGTTCACATATCATGTAGCTTTGATACATTTGTTAAAAAAAGAAGAATCAGAACCTCAGCTATCAGGGTGGATCCTGATCCTGCTACTAGAAGAATTTAATCTAGAAATTCGAGATAATAAAGTGATTGAAAATGTTGAAAATTTAACCGGATAGCATGATTTGAAGTTAAGTACTTTAAACTACTACAATTACATTTTCCTCGTGGAACGAGGTATCTGCACATAACATGATACCATTCTTACAGGTACACATACATATCCTCAGCGTCCAAACCCGTTACAGCGACAAAACAACGTTCAAGCGTCTAGCTCAACCGCCAACGCCAACAGATACATCCACTTACTTATGTCACAAGGCAAATAGCATCTAATGAAAAACCAGCTAAAACATGAACATGAATCAGGACCATGATAAGCATCGGCAAACTAAAAGAAATTGAGATGAGATCAGTAAGTTATGGGGATTACCGTTTTTAACCAATTCATTTGGCTAGAATTTGAACACCGCAGGCTGCAGGAGCATGCTTTCCGTCCTTAAAGACAAGGTTTCCTCTAACAAAAGTGTCCAATACTTTTCCGGATAACCTTCTTCCCATATATGCAGACAGGCTCTGAATACCAAATGGTCAAGTTTTTGGAGATGGGATTCATAAAGTCAAGTTACTAACTAACGAAATAAAAATTTCTAGATAACGCCGAAATACTGGACAATTTTGAAATTGTGGAAAGTTTAATTTTTTTTTAAAATGAGTGGAAGAACTTTTAGAGTGAATATCCAATTTGGCCTTTGAAATTGCGATACCCTATAAATAAATAATCACTGCTTACAGGATGTTTAAGGAAAACAGGATAATCGTCATCAAGGTCAAACTCCTGCTCTGGCTGCCACACTACAATATCTGCATGGTTTCCAATTGCAATGGCCCCCTAAAGCATAAGGAAATTACATCAGATTCGAACTACAATTATTTACTAAGAAGCGTATTGGACATTACTCGACAATTTCCTGAAAGAAAACTAAAAACAGTACAGAATCATGAAGGAAACTATATAATGATGTCACCTTTGATTCTAACCCTGCAAAGGTTGCAGGTTTCTGGCTCCACAATAATGATAATTGTTTTAGAGTTAACCCGTGTTTCTTCCCAGCTGACCATGTCACTGGAAGATCAAACTACAAGTATCCAATAGAACTCTATTAGTCTTTAGATCCATAATATCAGTTAAATATGCAGTATAAGAAACCAAAATCATTATAATCAATTTGTCGAAAACTAATAGGTTTATAATATTTCAGTAAGTATAGATTTTAAATGTTCAAACACACTCACTAAAGGATAATTTACTAACCTGCAAAGACGATATGCCACCCCAAGCCTTCAAGAAGTCACCTTCCTTAAGGAGCTTGAGTTCGGGCACAGTTGGTGAATGATCAGAACTTAATAGGTCAATGTGTCCATCCTAAAACGAAGAATAAAACAAGTAAAACTGATGAGATCTTATATGATATAAGTAAGACTAACTCTTGATTGTGGAGCAGAAGAATACCAGGACAGCCTCCCATAATTTCTCTTTGTTCAATGCATCACGAATGGGCGGGGAACACTTGTACCGAGTATCTCTGTCTGGTATCTCTTCAGATGAAAATGTTAGGTAATGAGGGGCAGTTTCGACGCTTATGCTGTCCCCACGACGTTTTGCTTCCTATATCGAGTATAAAATGTACAATAATAGCATTCTCATATCATTGAAGAAGTTTGATAAAGTTAATGTTTGTATCAGAGTTTCTAGTTTGATTGGTTATATAGTAAGGATACCTTAATAAGGTCTAAGGAAGCACTTGAATCAGACAAGTGAACAATGTGAACATGTGCTCCTTCTAAAGTACCGCCAATTCTAGTATCCTTTGTAACATCTACAAGTTCTTTAATGGCTGCCTCCTCCCTGGTTTATCTAAAGAGAACATTAGTAATTTTTCATAAAACTTAAACATGATGGATATTTTCAAGAACCTTAACCAATTTTATGTTTTGATATGATAACTAAAACAAAACAAATCATTTATATATTTTTCCAGAAAGTGAAGCCAAGTGTCTTACCAAGAAGGTGGTCTAGTGTCGAGATATGTATTGTAAGCGTGCGGGTCACCGTTATTACTTTTAGATTCTTGTTGAATCTCGGAGTGCACAAGTAAAGGTCTTTTATATTTTGCCAACACAGACAATCCCTCCTATAACAAGTATATTTGCCAAGCAATTGAACAAAGCAACAAACCCAAGTCATGTTAATGTGAAAATAAAATATAAAATGTAACCAGGCACACAAAGAAATTTAAAAATGATTGTACCTTGATATGTTCAATAGTAGTCATCGGAAAGTCATTGATTCCTGAAGGGCACATAAAAGACTGCAACAAGTAAAACGCAAAAAGAGTCTGAATGGCTTGAGAAACAGAAACACAATTTGGTTTGTATTCGTACTAGAATCACACCCTATAAATTCTAGAATCCATAGATTCTCAACATTAAAATGATTACCTTTACACCAAGAACACCAGCATCTAAGAGACCTTCAAGAATACTGGTATTTTGTGCATTTTCAGGGATCAAACCTCCCCAAAAACCTGTAAATATTAAATAAAAAATCAGAAACTAATTGAGAGTATGTTAAGGTGGAGTTTGAGGATCATACCAACATCAACATAGATTTTATTCTTGGCAGCTTCAAGCTGGAAATAAGTGGAAACTCGTGTCAGGAAGAATCAGTATGCATAGATAATAAAACATTAACTGTCAATAAGATCATAAATTTTGTATTTCTCAAGGAACTCTTCTTTCTACCACTTTAAAATGACTGGTTTTATCAAATGAGATAGATTTTGAACACTTCAAAATAGTGTTGACAAATGACAATCATAAATCATGAAAATAACAGTTTGTTCTAATTCTGCTATGCGACCACTATTTGACAACACTTTGTACTAAATAGTATTTAGTGTATTGCAGAACAATGGGGAATTGGCGATTTATTCAAATTTGTAGCTGCTATTTGACAACACTGCTTAAAAGAAACTATAAATGCACTCAAGTAATCGACAACTGATACCTTCAGTTCCAGTGTTTCCTTAGACACGGTTGTTGGGTGACTGTTTAGAGGCATGTCAACCACTGTAGTTACACCTCCTGTTGAAACAGTATTGGAATTGGTCTGTGTTAAAGTTGTTTTATTCTCTCAATGTTAAAGCATAGGAAAAAATAAAATAAAAAACATCAACATTTCTCCTGAAATATCCAAAACAATTTTCAAGTAGACCAAAAGTGAACATCAACATACCAGCAGCAGCAGCTCTGGTACCAGTGACAAATCCCTCCCACTCGGTTCTGCCTGGCTCATCAAGATGTACATGCCTTCGAAAGTAATTTACAAAATAAGCCAGGGTATGACATATTAAAGTGATGTTAAAATATGAAATGTTCACACACTGACTTAAAATCACTTAGACTAAGACCTAAGTTGAAGCAGAACTAAGTTTCTCTAGGTATACACATCATGCCTCACCTAAGGGAGTATTTGTGCATGTAAATTACTTTTTAGGGTTAATCAAAACAATTCTTCATACCAACATACATCTACAAAAAATGAAAGAAAACAAACCATGAGAAGAACATTACGGAATCTTACACATCAATCAAGCCAGGCATGATAACAGCATCTCCATAATCAATCACTTGTTGAACAGAACTCCCGTGCTCGCCATATCCTTCCACAATCGACGCTATTTTCCCTTCATTTATCTCCACTGTCGATGGCAATACAATTTAACAACATCGTGTCAATGTAAAATTCTCCCCACCCATCTTACTTTCTTTCTACACTAACTTAACAGCTAAAAAACAACAAACCTGATCCAGAAACGATTCCTTGTGAAGTCAAAATCCGCTTACTAGATATCCAGTAACGATCATACGGAAAAAGACTGCACTCATCTCCTTCCCCTACTAACTGTATCACAAAAACCACATCACTCAACTTCCACGATATCACTACCGTAAATAACAAAATCATGAACCCAAAAAGGTGAAATAAATAATCACTTACCTTTACAAGAGGATCGAATTGCGCGTTCTTGGAATTGTATAGAAAAAAGAAAACTGCGAAGGATATCACGAGTGCTGACAAAGGCAATACCTTCCATAGTAGCTTATCCATTTTTCTGTATTCAACTCTTTTTTTTTTTTTGCTACCAACACTGATGCATTCAAAATTATAATAACAAAACTCATGATCTGTATCCACACGTGATGAACATGGACCCACCCACCCTACTGCTCACTCTATTATTTATAATGCAGTTTTTTGTTGTTGTGTATATTATGGTGTAATTTGGAAGTTAATGTTGCATATAATCACTTAGTTATGTAGTAACAAAATTAATGTTTTTAACCACATGTTCAAGATATTTAGTTATCGTTGATAAATTAATTCATATAACATTGTGTTAAAAAAAATAATTCATATGACAATGATGTAATCGAGAATCGTTCGAGAATTTTGTGATGCAATCAAGAATTTAATGAGTGTGTACCAACAATCTCTTTCTTTCCTTCCTTATTTCTATAGCAAGTGTGAGTATATTTGACGCATCTCTTCATCCAGTTTTTTTTGGTTCTGTTGAGTTGTGTTATTCTGTTTTGTTCTTCAATTTGTGTTTGTTGTTTTTTTTTTGTTTTTTTGGCTTTTTCCTAGTTTTTTTTTATTGGGGATCTCTGCATTGCAAAAATGTTAAGAATTTATGGTGTGGTCATTGTCTCTGCTCATCTCCAATGTCATGCTCCTGGGTGACAGCAGCAACAATTCTCAAAAAACCTACAAATAGAAATCAAGAATAAGGAAATATCAAACAACATATGATCATATATCAAGAATGTCGAATCTAAAGTTCAAGAAGAAGATTTTTGCATTTGTGGCGAAAGCGACGTCAAGGAATGTAAGTTCGGAGTGCGCCTAAGAGGAGGTGAATTAGGACTTTAAAAATTATCCGTTTTTAGAAACAAGTTGTTCTTATTTTTCTAGTTTGGTAAAAGAGTTTAGAAAAAAATGTGTTTCTTTCTTTTCTAGTTATGATTTAAGATGAAAGCGATAAATGCGAAAACGTAAAGAACACAAGGATGTATCTTGGCTCCCCTCACAATCTAAAGGACGTCCAGTCCTCTTTCAACATGAAAGAGATTTCACTATTGCTAGATCTTTGTACAAGTCTTATACCAAGACTTATCCTACAATCTTCTAACAACAAAATCACTAAGAACAATCTTCTTGGATCAACCAAGTTGAAATGAGAACAATCTTCTCACTTTCAACTTCTTGCTTCCAATAATCTTAGACAGCAAGATACAACCAAACAAGTAGAATAAGAAAACAATTCTTTCCTTTCTTCTCAGTTGTTTCCAACAATCCTGAAAAACAAGGAATTACAAATCAAATCTGGAAATTATTTGAGTAATAAAGTTTATGAATATGTATCAAACACTAAGATTGATCTTCTCTTCCAAACAAACAATTTATAAAAAATATATTAGTGCTCAAGTGTTTATGAATTATGGAGGAGCTTTTCTGGACTGAAATGAAAAATAAATGCAGAAAAATTTTCATTGAAAGTTGAAGTATCAAAACACTTGTTTGAAATTTGAATGAATATAATGATGTTAAATTGTAATGGAACTGGTGAGTTTTAAATTTGAAAATGTAGAAAAAATATATATATATATATATATATATATATATATATATATATATATATATATATATATATATATATATATATATATATATATATATATATATATATATATATATATATATATATATATATATATATATATATATATATATATATATAACAGCTTAACACCTCTATGAATGTGGGTGATTCAATGAAGAAAAACAATGGTTAAGGAATGTGTTGTTCAAAATGTTCAGATTCAAAACAGACTGAAAAACCTACTGCCATACTCAGGAAGTCGATTTTAAAATATGAGATAATCGATTTCCTTTGAAACGTTGCAACTGAAAATTCAAATTTTCGTGAAGGAAATCGATTTCTGTAATAGGGGTAATCGATTTCCATGCCTGCAAACAGTTTGCTGGAAATTCAAAATTTTGTGAAGGAAATCGACTTTTGAAATATGGATAATCGATTTCCATGCCTAAAACGGTTTTCTGGAAATTCAAAATTTTGTGAAAGAAACCGATTTCTAAAATAGGGGTAGTCGATTTCCTGAACTGAAAATTGAAAAATTATTTGTTTTAATGTGCATAAATAGTTTCTAATGCAACTACTTTGGACCATGCATGCAAGTGAATAATTAGGAGTATTTTGAGCACTAAGTTATCAATATAGATTGTATGCTTATACCTCAATAAATTAAGATCAATGCTAGTCTTCATAAATGTAAGTTTTTGTTGGCAGCAATTTTGGTAAAATAATGCTTTGATAATGTTTTGCTAAATGTCTTGACATTAGGAGCAAACTGTTTTGAATGATGTCAAAGCAGATGTCTTGATATTTGCCTTCTGAGCTGAATGCAACTCACATCAGTTTAAGTTTTCTGCTTCCTGTTTTCATGCGTGCCATAATTCAGGATTTGTGACTCATAGGCTGCGAAAAATATGGAGGAATATTTTTCTATTTGATTTATCCTTATGGATTATATCTTGGTCTATTTTTATGGAAATATTCAAAAAATTGGAATATTTGTTTTTCAGCCCAAGCCCACTGATGCGCCTTTATAAGGACTTGCTTCCTTATTCATTGAACTGCAACTTTTGAAGAAGAATACTTTCCTTTTGTTTTAGAAGTCTAAGTCTTTTAATTGTAATACACTCTAGCATTGATTTAATACTTGAGTTGTTATTTTGAGTTGTTAATTATGGATCATTCATAAGCTTTTAAGCATTGAATGATTGAAGTCTTTAAAACTTGTTATTTCAGTTGTTCTTCACTGTAAGTGATTGAAGGGATTTTAGGAGGGCCTCATACCTAGGTGTGTCTTAGGTAGAAGTATAGCACGGGTAGTGATTAAGTGATTAGATCGTAAACTGGTAGTTTACTGAGGGTCTATGAATTGATACTATTTAGTGAATTTGTCCCTGGCTTGGTAGCCCTCGGAGTAGGTGTTGTTGTACACTAAACGGGATTAACAATCCCTTATGTTTTTACTGTTTTCACTTTTGTTTCATTTTACATTGTCCTCGGATATTTGTGTCGTGACATCTCCTTCGACATCTCATATCTGATACCAGAATTTCAATTGGTATCAGAGCAGACATCCTGCTCTATATCTGGGTGAGATCCAAAGAAGATACTTTCTGGTACTATGAACAAAGAAGGATGATTTGTGAACAGGCCATCTATTATGGGTTGAAGTAATTATGACTATTGGAAACCACGTATGGTGTCCTTCTTAAAGTCTCTGGACAACAGAGCTTGAAAAGTTGTTTTAAAAGGATGGAAACACCCTGTCAAATTGGGAGAAAATGGAGAACCTACTTCTGAGTTAAAACCAGAAGAAGATTGGTCTAAAGAAGAAGATGAAATTGCTCTTAGAAATTCTAAATCCTTGAATGTTATATTCAATGGAATTGACAAGAACGTTTTCAGATTAGTGAACACGTGTGAAGTAGCTAAAGATGCATGAGGAATTCTTCAATCTACCCATGAAGGCACATCCAAAGTTAAGATGTCAAGACTTCAGTTGCTCACTACAAAATTTGAGAATTTGAGAATGAAGGATGATGAAAGTATTAATGACTTCTATATGAACATTCTTGAAATTGCTAATGCATTCAGCGCTTTAGGAGAGAAAATACCTGAAGACAAATTGGTAAGAAAGATGCTCAGGTCTCTTCCCAAGAGATTTGATATGAAAGTGACTGCTATAGAAGAAGCTCAAGACATTAACAAAATAAAAGTGGATGAACTTGTTGGATCTCTTCTGACATTTGAATTAAGCATCAATGGAAGATTTGAAAAGAAGAACAAAAGCATAGCCTTTGTATCAAATACTGAAGATGAAGAGGAGGACTGTGATCTAGATACAGATGGAGGAATATCAAATGCCTTAGCTATACCTGGAAGACAGTTTAGCAAAGTGATAAAAAGAATGGATAGGAACCAAAGATCAAATGTCAAGAAAATCTCATCTGACATCCATAAGTCAAATGATTTTGGAAGAAAAAGGGCTGGAGAAAAATCCACTCAAGGGAAAGGAATACAATGTCATGAATGTGAAGGCTTTGGTAATATTAGAGCTGAATGTCCTACATATCTTGAGAAACAGAATAAAAATCTATCTGTTACTTGGTCGGAAGAGGACTCATAAAGTGATCTTGAAGAATCTACCAAGTATGTTAAAGCATTGACAGACAAATATGTATCTGATGAAGAGTCTAGTGATGAGGAACTAACATTTGATGAGTTAGTTGCCTCATACAAAGAATTATGTCTCAGAAGTGCAGAAGTGTGCCTAGAAGGGGAGAAACAGAAAGCCCTCATAACTCAGCTCAAGGCAGAAAAGGAAGAGCATCTAAAAACTTTTTCAAATCTGGAAAGTGAAGTGACTTCTTTGAATTCAAACCTTGATAGAATGGTCAAATCTGTCAAGATGTTGAATGATGGGTCTGACACATTAGATGAAATTATTCAAGCAGGAAGAGTGACATGAGACAAGAGTGGTCTAGGGTTTAATGAGAAAAAGGAACAAAATTCAGAAGAACCTTCATTAGAGTCTAAACCAAGGATGTCAAATGAAATGTCTAAACATCATGGTAAGAAAGGACATCATGGCAACAAAAAAAAGTTTAATCACTCCAGAGGGAACTCCTAGCCCTGGATATGTCATCATTGTGGAAGGCTTGGTCATATAAGGCCTTTCTGTTTCAAGTTGTATGGATATCCTAAAACTACTACTCTTCCCAAAACTGATCAAATTCCCCAAAATAGCAAAAAGAAGAAACAGTGGGTTCCCAAGTCTAATGTTGCTAGTTTCATAGCTCATACCTCTCTCAGAGTATCAACCAAAGATGACTGGTACTTTGACATTGGTTTTTCTAGACACATGACATGTGTCAAGAATCTGTTGATAGATGTCAAATCTCATTCCACCAATTATGTAACTTTTGGTGATGGAGCCAAAGGTGAAATCAAAGGA